ATAAGAGAACTAGTGAATGTGAAGAAGGCACTAAATAACGAAATAGAAAAATGAAAATTATTCTGGTATGGACATATGCGAAAGATAGACGAGATAAGAGTATCGTTGAGGAAATGGAAATCAGATGGAACAAGGTGAAGAGAACGTCCTAGATTACATTGGAGCAGACAAATAAAGACAGCGGGTAGGGGGTAGGTTTAAATTCTTGAACATAGTCCTATCAGAGAAAATGAATCAATCCCTGCCCTCCGTAGATTCCGGGTGTTTCCTGACCCGGAAAACTAGTAACTGTTTAGGGTCACTTGTGCAGGCTTACAGATAAAGTCCACAACGGCAGCCACGGCGAAGAAGCAAAACTTCGGTACGGTGCGGATGGCATAAGTGGCAACCCTCGATTTTAGGGTTGATATAGAATCAAGTCAAATACTGGCCAACGGTTTCGAGCGAAGGAGCTGGTAGATGTAAGGGCACTCTTTTGTCCTAAGATAGAGAAATCTATCTCGAAGGCGGATGAACCAAGGAATAAGGATGCAAAAGGCAACGGGGAACCACTGCATTAAATACTCGTAGAGTAGCCTTAGAAATCGTCATGGCAGTTAATGACCGTACTGGTCATGGTTTTCGGATGCCAAGATTTGGCAGGGGGGAAACAACAATGATGACAGGGCTTCTCAGGCCGTTAACTAACGAAATACCTGCGTATTAAAAATAAAAAACTCAATTTTTTAAATAGCGACATGGAATGTTAGAAGCATATATGAGCTTGGTAAACAAAAGAACTTAGAACAAGAAATGATGCGACTTAAGATCGACATATTGGGAATAAGTGACACAAGATGGCTCGACTCCGGCCAACTAAGTAGAACCAATGGTCGACTTTTCTACTCTAGTAGTACGACAGCCAACTTCGGTATGGAGTAGCAAATGTAAGTAAAAAAGGTGAAAAATCAGTTGTAGGCTTTTTACCAATATCGGAAAGAATTATGCTAATACAAATGATGACAACACATGGGAAATTAATTCCATGCCAATCGCTGATAAAACGAAGGAAGAAATTGAAAAATTTACGATGACCTTCAAAAAACCCTACAAAATACATCTAGAGATATTATAACAGTAGTTATTGGTGATTTTAGCGCCAAGGTTGGAGAAGAAAGATGTGAGTCTACTGTAGGACCATATGGACTATATGGAAGAAAAACTAAAACAAGAAACTAATGCAAACCCAGAATCCACACCGGAATCAATTTATGGTGATGTAAAACAACAGTGGCACTTCTTTAAAAATGCAATTATCGAACCAAGTCGTAGAGAACTCACAACAACCAGATGGAAGAGAGGAGATTGGATGACAGAAGAAATCTTGGAAATGATGGAGGACAGTAGAAGGCAAAAGAGTATTAACATAACTCCGTATCAACAGCTGCATAATCAAATAAAAAGGAAAATAAGAGAAGCTAAAGAGACTTTTTCGCTGGAAAATGCCAAAAAATAGAAGACTTACAAAACAAATATAATAAGTTCAATCTCCATAAGAAACTTAAAGAATTAGTTGGGGTAGCAAAACAAAAAACCTCAAGCATAGTATTGGACAAACAAGGAAACATTTAAGTGAAGACGGAATAAAAATTAAAAAGATGGGAAGAATATATAGCGGAATTATTCCATGACCAAAGACAGGAAAATATATATACAGATAATCAGAGTAAAGATGAGGGACCCGAAATAACAAAGTCAGAAGTTATGCATGCAGTAAAGTCTATGAAAAATAATAAAGCTGCTGATCCAAATGAATTACCAAGTGAATTGCTAAAACTGGTCAATGAAAAAACATAAATCTTTTAGTCCAACTACTGAACACAATATATTCCACAGGAATCATTCCGCGTGAAATGCTGACATCCATATTTATTTGTCTACCAAAGAAAGTAAATGCCAAATATTGTAGTGATTATCGAAAGATCAGTCTAATGTCACATACCTTAAAAACTCTGCTAAAAGTCATCCATAATAGAATACTCCATTATTAGGGATCTTATATATATAAGGTTCTTGAACTCCTAAGTGGAGCATAGAGCTTCAGTGAAAATGCGCCATCGGGTTCTATTTTGCGCTAAGGCCTTCACCTCATTTCAAGACTTTCCTTGTTTTCTTATCTCGTCCATGATGGATCTTCTCCAAGTTTGTACTGGGCGACCTTTTTTTCGTTTTCCATTTTAGGGATCTTAGTTTTGACTTATTATTTGATTATTTATTATATGAACTATATGAACACACTACTGGATCAGTTAAAGTACTTGACACACTTTCGAACGAGTTTCATCCAGAACGGGGTGTCAGACAAGGATGTATACTATCTCCACAATTATTCAACATATATGGAGAGTATATTATGTGAAGAGCACTTAAAGGATGGGAAAAGGGCATCTCAATAAATGGTCATAAACTAAACAACCTAATATTTGGTCTGCAATTAAACATATCAAAGACAAAGATCATGATAGTGGATAGACTACACAACAATCATCCACACATAAACACAATTGACCGGTTCGAGGTTGTGAGCTCATACTTATATCTGGGATCATTAATCACAAACACAGGGTCATTACAAGAAGAGATTAAACGTAGATGTGATCTAGCAAAAGTTGCCACAGCAAAAATGACCAAAATATGGAAGGAATGTCAAATTTCAAGATAAAGATGAGGTTGATCAACTGCTTAATATTCCTAATACTGACCTACGGATGTGAATCTTGGACTCTGAGACAATCGGAGAGAAGAAATATAAACGCCACTGAAATGTTCTGTTGGAGACGAATGTTACAAATTCCTTGGACCGACCGTAGAACAAATAAGTCAATTTTAAGAGAGCTAAAAGTTAGCCAACGACTCTCTAGTAAAGTCCATCTCTAACAATTAAAATATTTTGGGCATGTTATGAGAGCAAACACAGAAAACATGGAAATACTCATAATACAAGAAAAGGTAGAAGGCCAAAGATCACGAGGAAGATCCTCAACAAGATGGATAGATCAAATTACAGAAATATGCCAAAGACCTATGCATGAATTAAAAGAAATGACCAGAGACAGAGATCTCTGGAGACGGACAATACATGACATCACGTCAACCACTTCACTCCCCCTGGGGGGTCAGGATTAGAGAGAGAGAGTTTTGATTTCGAAATGGAGTGAGCACAAGAGAGGCACTATTTTCTTTTAACGTGGTGACCCAAAGATGTTTAGATGTTAATCGAGACCTTTATGTATGCTTTATAGACTACAACAAGCCATGATATGATATTCGAATGAGTATCGATTCTTGTTTTTGAGTACTTATAAAAGTACTCAAAAACAAGAATCTGGATGTGAGGGATTGAGATTGAATTTATACTACAGCCAACGATCAAATGTGAAAATTGAAAGAGAAGTGTCAGAATAAGTAGCGATAAGGAGAGGAGTCAGGCAAGATTGCATACTGTCACCGGTATTGTTTAATGCTTATTCTGAAATCATACCAGAAGTTTACTTACCAACATTAGGTATGTCGACGATACAGTCACAACAGCCGACAACTTGGAAGACTTAGAAAGACTAATGAACAAAATATTAAGGTATGGTGGAGAATACGGACTCTCTCTTAACATAAAAAAAACAAATTCATGAAAATTAGCAAGAATAACAATACAAATAAAATATTAAGCAGCAGATTGAGAGAGTAAAAAGATATACATACTTACTTGGAAACGATAATCACAGAAAATAACGATTATACTGCAGAGATAAGAGTCAGAATTGAAAAAGCACGTGCCAACTTCGTGAAAATGAAAAAGATTTTATGCAGCAAAGATCTGATATTGACCCTCAGAATAAGGCTAATTAAATGTTATTCACACAGTGTACTCTACTATGAAGCTGAATCATGGATATTAAACCGGATACAATAAATCAACTAAACGCGTTTGAAATGTGGACATTTAGAAGATTTACGAAGAAGATTGCGTTTCGATTCAATTTAAGTCTCTTTCCACTCCATGATACGTGTTTCTGGGTCTACCCGTAATCAGAAGGAGTTTGTAAGAAGAAATTTAGAAGACTGTTAAGGATTCCATGGGTAGATAGAGTCACGAATGCAGAAGTGTTAAAAAGAATAGGCAGAGCGAGGGAAATGAAAAATACAGTAAAAGAAAGGATATTACAATATCTCGGACATGTACTGAAATGCGAAAGATTTAACATCTTGAGACTCATAATTTAAGAAAAAATAGAAGGTAGGAGGAGCGTAAAAAGAAGACGCGTTTCCTGGTTGAAAAACCTGAGAGAGTGGTTTGGTTGCAGCTCAAGGCAATTATTTAGAGCATCTGCCTCGTAGGTCAGAATATCCATGATGATTGCCAACCTTGGTTGCGGAGATGACACTTAAAGAAGAAGAAGACAAATAAAAACAGCAATGGAAATAAGAGATCTTACTCGAGAAGATTTATGATAAAAAGAAATGTCATGTAAATAACATGCCGTGTAAAGTCACAGATAAGTAAGTAAAATAAAAGTAGAATAAGTAAGTAAAGTTAGTCCAGGAAGATATCACAAAAATACCAATTCAAACTTGAATTGTAATTTAAAATGTATAATAGACAGGAGAAACACAGGAGAAAATTAAGAAAGGAGATCATTAGTTACCGTTTTTCTAATATAATCATAATAGTATGATTTTTAATTTGTATTTAACAATGTCTCCCGAAATAGAAATCAAAAGGTATTTTAAATAATATGTATAAATCTTTATTTATATGAACTATTAAAAACTTAAGTCGAAATATATTTTATCAGAGTGGCGTTTTCTGTTTATGCTTAGAATATAAAAATCGATACATAAAAGAAAATATAAATGGTAAAATTATTTTTTAATAGTTTATTTATTGATAACACTTAATATATTGAACACATAAAAGTACATTACTATATTTCTATACTCTCCATTCTGGATTGCCCCGGATATTACCATAAATGTCCCACAGACACGTAGGGAGAAGCAACAACAGCTGGAGAAGAGTAAGCGTGGACAACTGGAGCAGCGTGGACAGCGTGGATCAATGGAGCACTGTGTACAACTGGAGCAGCATGGACAACAGGGCTTACTAAAGCATGGTTATGGACAATCGAGCTACTGTGTTCACTAATGCTGGTTGGTACGGAACCGATTACTGCAGCGCTATGTACCACTGGTGTAAGAAGACTGGGCCGTGCAGAGACAGCAACCAAGACAGCGAACAACACCACCAATTTGTACATTATGTAAATAGGTCTGTGTCGTATTGTAGACTTAAGATACGTGTGATTTTGTTCTGAAATTTAATAGCTTTTATAATACAGGTAAAAGTGTGTGGGGTTCAACTATTCAAATCTCAGCACTTAAAATTGCATGTAAAAAAATTAAAAATTACATCACTTCCTAGTAATTGAGATGTTAAAATGATATAGTACTATCCTTTTTCCTTGTTTTTTTAATGAATACAAATGAATTTTTAAATCAATTATCGATAAACGTATTTTTCATTTTTGATATATAGCATCATGGTCGCTCGATACCATATTATAACAAGGCCAATGACACGCATTAATTTTATTTCTTTATTTGATTAATTATCTTTAAATATTATCCCCCTAAATTAAAATACTTTTTATTGTACCTGCATCATAATCTAGATGTATATAATTTCGCCAATTTAGATCTTAATAATTAACCTTGCTTACAAAAAATTTGCTAAAATAAAGAAATTAATAACAATTTACTTCTACAAAAGTAGTTGTTAACATACACAAAGTTACAGTATGTAACTTTTTACGAAAAAGACTAGCTATTGAGACCAGTTGCATTTGAAACTACGTATTACGAAAATCTTAAAAATTTTTGCGAATATATATATATATATATATATATATATATATATATATATATATATATATATATATATATATATATATATATATATATATATATATATATATATATCGCAAAAAGGAGTACGACCGTCTATCCAATATAAATAAGGATCACTCAGACGAGTGGTGGGTTCAATTATCGGTCAACTAGGTGGAGAAATAAAAGACAAAGTTGATACTACTTTATAGCTGATAAAAATGTCATTTTCAACAGCAACAGGTGCCAAGCATACAGTGGTAACTTCACTTTATATCTTTTTTTATATATATTTTTTATATCTTAATGTAGATAACTTAAATAATGCTACCAAAAGTTAAGATTAAGTCATAAAATAAAATTTTTTGCATAGTTGGAAGTGAATCAATGATTTTCTTAGTTCTTTTTCACTAGTTAATATTATATTAAATATTATATGCTTATTAGACCACGTGTTCTGTTGCTTTGCTAATTTTTACTAAGTCTCTAAATGCTGTTAGTTATTTAATTGTTTATACAATATCACCATATGATGTCCATTTATTTGAGTTATTGTACTACCTTTATAATACCATTGACAACTACATATCTTTTTTAAGATGAACTGATGATGCTATCAGAATTCGATAGCGAAACGTCTTCAAAATAGATGAAGTAGTATCAACTTTGTCTTTTATTTCTCCACCTAGTTGACCGATAATTGAACCCACCACTCGTCTGAGTGATCCTTATTTATATATATATATATATATATATATATATATATATATATATATATATATATATAGTGAAAGTCTTCAAATTCTGCCTGATCGTATTCACGAGGTAGGAGAGGAAATGGGCATTAAAATAAACTCAAACAAAACCAAATTTTTAGTGTTTAGTCGTGATCCACATTCCGATGCAAAGCTTCAATTGAACGGAGTCCAAGTTGAGAAAGTTCACAAAATGACATACTTGGGAACTGTGATAACGGACCAATTAGATCCAGACAGAAATAAAACGTAGAATAGCAATGACTAAAACTACTTTGAAGAAAATAAAGTCATTTCTTTGCAATAACCATCTCAGTTTAGGCAAAGAATGGTTAAGTGATATGTTTGGTCTGTACTTTTGCATAGTGTAGAAGTGTGGACGCTAAAAGTATCGATCATGAACAAAATTGAAGCATTAGAAATGTGGGTTCATAGACGAATGCTGAAGATTGGACAGCAAGAACAACTAATGAAGAAGTACTAAGGAGCGTGAACAAAGACAGAGAACTGCTAAAGACTATTAAACATCCAAAAATGTCCTATCTGGGACATATAGTAAGGGGAAGTCGATATAAAATTTTACAACTGATCCTTAAAGGCAAAGTAGAGGGCCGTAGAGGCGTAGGAAGAAAACAAGTTTCTTGGTTAAAAAACATTCGTGAACGGACTCAGATACCAAATACAGGACAATTATTTCATATTGCAGAAGATCGAGAAGCCTTTGCAATGCTGATCGCCAACGTAGGATAGTTCTGATATGGCAAGCGAAGAAGAATATATATAGTGGACTCGCGTAAATCCGAGTCCCGATTTACCGAGTCTCTGGATTAACCGAGGTAGTAATTGAAAAGAACAAATTATGTAATACATTAGCTTGGAGAGAGAGATCAAGTGAATGTGTGTGCTCTAGCTGTTGGTACTCTGAAGAGATGAGTTACTAGCGAGTGTTATTGTTCTAGCCACTCTGCTTCTACTGACCGCCTTTTCACCCACACCCTCTCCCGTCAGTTTAAGTCATCACAGCCAGCTGTTCGGTTAGTCCCACTGTAAGCTCTTACAAGTTCATTTATATATTCTTTTTGTATAGTTTCTACGCAAATTAAAGTGCAATATAAGTTTAAAAGGTAAACCAGTTTAGAAACAAAATTAAGTACTATAAAACGCTTGAATAAGGGTGAGTCAGTAAAGAAGGTTGTTGCTGACCTAGGTGTTGGAGAAGTGACTGTGGGGGATTCAAGACGTAAACGAAAAGATATTGAACAATAAGCTAATAAAAGTGTGAGTGGTGAAAGAGAATAATTGCGGAAAACTTTAAAGAAAGGAGAATACCAACAGACTTCTGAAGTCCTATTTTTATGGTTTTCTAATCTTAAAGGTGTGGAAAGTCCAATTAGTGGCCCCATGCTTCAAGCTAAAGATGTCGAGTTTCACAAACGGTTTAAGGATGGTAAGGAAAATTTGACTGCAACTGATGGTTGGCTCGATAGATGAAAGAGGAGATATGGCATCCGATAACTGAATATTTCGGATGAAAACCTTTCGGCCGATTCATCTGAACCGAGTAACCCTTTTGATGTGCAGCAACTCTTCTGAATCCTTAAAATTAAGACCTCTACTGATTGGAAAATCAAAGAATCCAATATTCAAATTTAAAAATATTCAAGTAAACTGCCTACTTAAGTTGGAATACTTGGGTTACGTTATGAGACATAATAAATATTGAGTACTACAGCTGATCGTTAAAGGGAAAATAGACAGCAGAAGAAGTCCAGGGAGGAGAAGACACTCGTGGCTCCAAAACTTGCGGAAATGGTTCGGATTGTCATTTGCTGAACTATTCAGATCTGCCGTAAACAAAGTCAGAATAGCCATGTTGATTGCCAACGTTCGGAACGGACAAGGCACATAAAGAAGAAGAAACTGCCTATCTATTATGTACAGGAAGCAACTTAGTGCTTGGATAGATTGCCAAATTCTCTGACAAGTTCGTTTGCGTTGTTGGCGCCTACTTAAAAGAAAAAAACCTACCAAGAAAAGCTATGCTTCTTTTGGACAACGCGCCATCTGATCCAGATACAAGTTCGTTATGTCTTCCTCAGGGTTTCCGAGGTCTCAGTCTCCCGAGCTCCCAGACACTACTACACTGGTTACTGATCACTTTAACATCACTACTACAGTCACTACAGTCACTATAGAATAAAAATGAACCGTTCGCTCAGAAACAACGCTTAAAGCGACCGTCGATTTTAAATGTCATTTACGCGCGCGAAATCAATGTTCAATAAAATTGGTATCAGCTCGACGGTAAAAATTAGGTTTTTTTTAATCCAAATATCATATATACAAAAATCAAGATCCGTTTTAAATATTAAGAGTGCAGCTTTAGTATGCAGTTTTTGTATTTTGCTGCAAATAAACTGAGTTTTATAAAGATGTTAAGTATATAAACAAGACGAGATTTTTACCATTTTCTCCGATTCTCGTGAGATCAATAGAACTGATTACTTTCGTTGACCAGTCGTAGTAAAATTTACATTTTTAGAGATCAATCTTTAAAACTTATGGCAAGAAATTTCAATTTTGATTTGTGGCAATAAATATGAGGCATTTGAAATATGAATAAAAAGTGAAAAATTTAATGTTTTATATTAAATTTTATAATTAAACGATCGTACGTCACGGAAACTGTCTCCAAGAAGACGGTTTTGCGTGTAATTTATAGCAGAAGTGTGGTTGTTTTAAAAAATGAACTAGTATTGTTTGGTATGTGAAAGTTAAAATCCAGCATTTTTAAGCATATTTCAAATGCATTACATTTGTTGCCAAAACTCAAAACTAAAATTTTATGCTATAGGTTTTGAATGCTATTGTCCTTTTCCATCATATTGATAGCACATTCTGTATGCAAATCCTCAACAGGTCAAAAAACCATAGGCGTCACCCTATACTTGTTTTGAAATAAATAAAAAAAATTAATATTTTAAGATGCCGTCAACAATTCATTATCTTTAAAAAAATCTTCTATAAACTAGGTGTCCACTAATCTCACTATACCTTTTTTGTGAGTAAAAAACGTCGGTATATATGCCATACGATTATTGTTAATTATACACGGGTGATTAACGAGAGAATTCAATGTTTCACGAAATAAATTAATGTAAACAGTAATTTAAAGGTGATTATTGTTTTCTATACAAGTTATCGCCTGACACAAAAATAATACCTTCTATGAACGATTACCTGGAATTACTGATAAGGCTTCACTAATGATAGTTTAAGTAGTTTTTATGCCACATTACAGCTTATGCCAATAATATAAATTAGAAATTATTTGCATCTTCCATTTAGTTTGTAGATGTACATTGTTTATGTCTTACCTACCTACGTTTTTGGTGTCGATATTTTGTTATTTGCATTTAAAAATGACGTCGACAACAGGTTTTATCCCGGTTAAGTGTAGTTTTAAAGGTGCCTTCAGTCTAAGAGAGAAAAATATAATATTAAATGTACACGATGCACTTGTGCATCAACGCCCTTTAAGTAATGTTCGTGAAATCTTTAACATGTGTTTAAATATGACAGGGGTTAGAGAAGCAACAATTTATAGATTCCTAAAA